TACCGCGCGGCAGTACGAGCGCGCCGGCCCCTTCCGGCACACGTGCGGCGGGAGCCTCATTGCGCCCCAGTGGGTGATCACGGCCGCCCACTGCATCTCGTGAGTGGCCCCGCGGGGACGGGGACGGCGTGGGGGACACGGTGCAGGGACAGGGCACAGGGTGCAGGGACAGGAGGGCAGGGTGCAGCGATGCAGGGACATGGCACAGGGACAGGCGGCAAGGACCGGCACTGGGGTGCGGGGACGGACACGGCGTGGGGGACACGGTGCAGGGACAGGGCACAGGGTGCAGGGACAGGAGGGCAGGGTGCAGCGATGCAGGGACATGGCACAGGGACAGGGTGCAAGGATCGGCACTGGGGTGCGGATACAGGGTGTAGGAATGGGGTGCAGCGATGTGGCACAGGGTTGGGGTGCAGGGTGCAGTGACAGCGTGCAGGGCACGGTGACCACGTGCAGGAACTGGGTGCAGTGACAGGGTGCCGGATGCAATGACGGGGTGCAAGGCGAAGTGGCAGGGTGCAGGGTGCAGTTATGGGGAGCAGGGGGTAGCACCAGGGAGCAGGATGCAGCAACAGGGTGCATGGCACGGTGACAGCGTGTATGGCACGGTGACAGGGTGCATGGTACAGTGACGGGGTGCATGGCGTGGTGACGGGGTGCATGACTCGGTGACAGGGTGCACGGTATGGTGACGGGGTGCACAGTGTGGTGACGGGATGCATGGCTCAGTGACAGGGTGCATGGTGCAGTCACAGGGTGCACAGTGTGTTGACAGGGCGCACAGCGTGGCGACGAGGTGCATGACGCGGTGACAGGGTGCATGGCATGGTGATGGGGTGCACAGTGTGGTGATGGGATGCACTGCATGGTGACAGGGTGCATGGTGCAGTGACAGGAAGCATGGCATGGTGACGGGGTGCACCGTGTAGTGACAGGGTGCACCATGTGGTGACAGGGTGCAGCACCTAGCATGGCTGCAGCTCCTGCCACCCTGGTGCCACCAAGCGCAGAGCCCCCGCGCTGGCAGCACCGTCCCCGCTGCCCCTGACGCGTCCCCGCTCCCCGCAGCTCCTCGCGCACCTACGAGGTGGTGCTGGGCGCGCACGACCTGACGGTGCCCGCGGCCTCGGAGCAGCGCATCCCCGTGAACGACGACGACATCTTCGTGCATCCCGGGTGGCTCAGCTCCTGCTTGTCCT